TTCCCTTTGGCGCGAATATCTATGTCAGGGAACGTACCTGGAGGTGGGCATCATGGACAGCGAGAGCAGTTCAGGCCACCGTCCTGGCGCCGTCGGAGCATGTCTCAAAGGGTTGGGTGGTGCGAGTGACCCGCCCTGATGGAACCCCAGTACTCCTAATAACTACTTTAGCTTATCAAAAGGTTAGGGAGCCGGAACCGTTGAATGCACCTCCAGAAGCAGCAGAACAGCCTAGTGAGGCCTTTCCGGTGGACAGTCCGGGTGCTGGTAGTAGACCTAAAGCGCCACGTCCACTAGGAGGTTTCATTACGGGTCGTGAGAGTAGGGTGCCTTCTGAAGCCGAGCCTCCGTTGCCTCCACCAGCTGATGCACCAAGTGTCCCCCGTCGACGTATCAGGGCCAAAGGAGGGTTGCGCCGCCTAGTGCCGCAAGGGGGAGGACCTGAAATGTTGGGAATGTTGCAGAAGTTAAAGAGTCTTGGAGTCAGCTGGGTGGATGAGGATGAGAATCATTCGGGATCGGGGGAGTCGGAGGACGAGGAGTCGGGTCATACGATCTTGTTTGCACTTCCAGTAGAAGAAAGCTCATTCAAGGTGTGTCATGTTGAAGCCGTAGATGGGGTGGAACAAGAAGCCAAACTCCTTAGAGAACAGGGAGCTATGTCAAGGAGAGCGGTTTGTGATTTGGTACTTCGGAGTAAGTGGCCTTCGTGTAGAAATCACAGGAGGGCCGATAAGACAACGCATGAAAAGGGTAGGCTAGCGGTTCTTGGTGCTTTTGCTCACGGGGGTATTTATGGAGTCACCCAGGTAACGCACCAAAAGCCAGAAATGGTAAAAACCCTGAACGTGTATCTCCGTCAAGAAGTCCCAGATGCCACCTATACTGCGATCCTGGTTAGTCAGAGGGGTCCTTCAGAATGGCACCGAGATGTCAACAATGCGGAAGGGTCCATCAACTGGGTAGTTCCATTAGGAGATTTTCAAGGTGGCGAAATTAGAGTGTTACCTGAAGGGCTAAGAACCGATGAAGCTGATGTAGATGAGCATATGGGCATCTTGTACCCCCCAGCAAATCATCCAGTGTCATTCAATCCCAAAAGGAGACACAAGGTTCTTCCTCATACCGGGAATCGTCTCGTCTTGGTTGCCTATACACCTCGAGGATGGACTCGTCTTCCAGAGTCGACGATAAAGGAACTTCGGGAGCTTGGGTTTCCGGTTCCTCCGCTGCCTAAGGGATCCGAGCCAGTAGTCAGAGCTGTTTCAGTAGCCTATGTCGGCGACGACAGTAGTGAAGGCGATGGTGGCTTAGGCTGCACCATGGCATGGAGCCGACACCGTGACAAATGTCTTTCTCAGCTGAAGTGGGCCTTCGAGGGTTTGGAGTACAGACTAACACAGAGCGATTCCGAACCGTCTCTTTGGAAAATCCAGGATTCCAGCAACGCTTTGAAGGGGCTCATTGGCGTATATGTTGACGATATGCTCTTGAGTGCTTGCAGAGGCTTATTGGAATCAGTGGCAGGGGCCATTCAGACGCTTTGGGAGACCAGCGACATTAAGTTTGCGGAGGACGGTTTGCACTTTCTTGGTGTTGATATCCGGCTGCACAATGGTAGGTATTACCTAACACAAGTGAGCTATGTCACCGAGTTGCTGAACAGGCATCCCGAAATTGAGGGGACTGCGTCGACGCCGTATCCAGCTGAGAAGGATCAGGAGACCCAAGAAGAGAATATCCAGATGGAGTCGGTTCGCTTAGTGCAGGGGCTGATTGGAGAATTAACGTGGTTGGCCACGAAAACAAGGTTGGATATCGCGTGGGCGGTGAACCGTGCTTCTCAGCTTTCTAGCGAGCGTCCTAGCAGGGCGATTGCAGTGTGCCAAAACATCGTGCGATATCTCCGAGGAAAGCCGGATTTGGGCCTGGTGTACGGGCCGAAGCCTGCGCAGGGCGTGAAGGTCGAAATGACGGAGGGGACTCTAGAAGTCGCCACAGACGCGTCGTTTGCACCGCTGGGCGAAAAGTCACAAACCGGCGTGGTGTTAAAATGGGCCGGCGCTGTCATCGGCTGGGTTTCCTCAAAGCAGACGTTCGTCTGCCTGAGTTCGGCAGAAGCTGAGCTATATGCGGCCATGGAAGGTATGGTCATGACAGACAGTGTCAGTGACCTGGTACGCGAACTAGTAGGGCAGGTGGCGCCAGCTCTCTATTCGGACAACGTTGCATGCACTTGCTTGATCGCTCTCCCGGCGGGCTCATGGAGAACCCGTCATTTGAGACTTCGCGCGAGAAGATTGCACGAGAGAATAGAGAATGAGGAGCTTCAATGTTTTCACCTACCAGGGGAGGTCATGACCGCGGACCTATTAACCAAGTCGCTTTCGTCTCAGAGGATGCAGAAGCTACTTGACTTGGCTGGAGTCGTCCAGTTGTCCCATGTCTTAAGATGCGCCGTGGTGGTGCTGAGCATCTCCAGAGCGCAAGCTCAGCCATCTGAAGATGAAGAAGATGAAGCGTCATGGGTTCCACTTCTGCTAGTAATGGGGTTCACGGTCTTAATCGCAAGACTTTTGGAACTGTGTTTGCGATGGTGTTGGAGTCAAGGGGCAAGGAGACTTAGAGATCTTCAGGGGCCACCTGAGAACGGAGAACTAGTAGGGTCTGTTCTAGAACAAGTATCTTCGCAGGGAGCTGTAGACGGGTCTGAGGTGACAGTAGTCGCTTTTGGGGATGACGTTGGACTGGTAGGGCCAGAGGATCAGGTCGAAGTTGTGGCTGCGGACTTGATCGCTAGGGCGCTAGAAGAAGAAGAACGAGCCTTGTTTCATAGGTGGTATGCTCTATATGTTGAGCCCTATGATCCCTACGACCCGTTGTTAGATGAGTCCCCATCCCGCAGAGCCTCTCTTGAAGACATTTGGTCGGAACCTCAAAGCCCAAATCCCGAACCTGAAATAGGACAGGGGTCTAGGACCGGGGGAGTAGAACTGTCTCAGGCGGCAGGGCCTAAAACTAAAGCTCCAGATCCTAAGTCAAGTACCCAAACTTCCTTTCAGGGGCACCATCCCTCGTTGAGTTCTGGGCTTTCGGAAGAGTCTCTGGTTTCGGGTGGGAGTCTTGAAGTAGACCCTAAGAGTAAGCCTCCTGCACCAAAACCGCCCCCGGATGGTTGGTTGGGAACCGTTGTAAAAAGGCCTCCGCCCGTGACATCGCAGTCTGTAGCTATCCCTATCCCTAAGCCGAAACTACCGCCTGAAGGTTGGTTGGGAACTGTTGCCCCAAAGCATCCAACCGCGAAGGCACAGTCTGTAGGTGTCCCAAAGTCTCCTCCTGTTAAGCAACCCCCACCAGCTCCGAAATTGAACCCGCAAGCTCATCAGGACATGATATTAATCGCGCAGACACAAGAATTGATTCAGTGGGAGCTTCGCCGAAATCTCGGCCATCAGCCCATTGAAGGGCTCAGAGATAACTTCCACTACATTCCCGAACTTGGTCTGCTGATAAGATGGCATCCGATGTGGCGCCAACAGTTCTTCGACCCAAGTCGGACAGCACTTCCGATATCACTAAGCAGGTTGGTTGGGGATCGTCGGTCTTTCTGTATCTTCAGGGATGGTACCAGTGGCATTCTTGATGACAACTTCAGGGTCACGCGCCAAGGGGCGAACGTCTCAACGATGCAATGGCAGGGGAGAACTGAGTTCCTTGTAGCTCCTCCAACCCCTATAGCTCCTGTACCAAACCCTCCTCCAAGCAAATCGAAAGCCGCAGGTCCCAAACCAAAATCTAAGCCGAAATCTCAACCGAAAGCCGAGCCGAAGCCGAAAACACCACCACGTCGCTTAACACAGTGAAGCGGAAACTGTAGACCTCAAACAAGGCGTACTCCTAGAAGTCCTGATTCCTAGTCTTAAGTGATGTAGGTTTTGGGTGTTTAGATAGGGTTGACGGGGTAAGTTCTCCTTCCTTTGGGGCCAGTAGCGTCTTAAAGGGTTTTCTAGGTCCTATGCTTGGTACAGATAAGTATGTGGACACCGTCTTGCGTAAGCTGGTTTTCCGTAGTCTTGAGCGTCGCAGAGTGTTTGAAACCGCAGTATCGTTTAGAGCATCTTGATCGTAGGCAGCCGGTAAGTGCTGCTATTGTTTCCGAGAAGGGGAGCTCGCTGGACTTTTGGGATTCCTGTCCTGTCCTTAGGCGTCCCCCCGTAGATCTCCTTTAGATCTCCGTTGTTGGTGTTGTTACGCAGAAAAGGCCTTGAGCTTTGAGCACTCACTCCACGGCCTAACAACTACCTGGCCAAGTGTTTGAAAGAGTGGTGTGCCTTAGATATGAGTTTGCATGCTGCAAAGGGGGAGTCTTGATGATGAAGCATCATATCCCTTCTGCAGGCCTTTTAGCTATGATCAAGTGCAGTATCTGAAAAGGGCGATTTGACTTGTGCGAGTTCACAGGTGTCTTGGCAGCATTAACCCTAAACCCTAACCTCTAATCTAAGGGTTGGTTTCCTTATAGGGTTTAGGGTTTAGGGCTTAGGGCTTAGGGCTTAGGGCTTAGGGCTTAGGGTTTAGGGTTTAGGGTTTAGGGTTTAGGGTTTAGGGTATTTTCCGGCCCTAAGCTTTGGGGTTTCAAGGTTTGGGACTGCTTGTGCATTGCTTAGAGCTTGGGGGCTGTAGAGGCCTGCAACCTTTCCGGCCCGCGCGCCTTGCAGAAGCACAGCAAGCAGCCTGGTACATCCTCTCCGTTGGAAGGCTGTCGTAAGTAACCCTAAACCCTAAACCCTAAACCCTAAACCCTAAACCCTAAACCCTAAACCCTAAACCCTAAACCCTAAACCCCATACCTAGGGGACGACATGACCCCTAGAAGGGCTTATGTTCATATACCTTAACAGGGATGATAGTAGTAGAGGGTATATGACCCCAATCTTGGGGTTCATGTGTTCCCCAAGGCCACAATATCCTACTGGTGCTTGCCATGAGACTTACAGTTCTCAGTGCTCTGCAATCTCCCCCGTGACCTTGGTTCCAATGTGGCGACCTCCTTCCGACGTCCAGCCGAGGATGCGCGAGCCTGGCTGCAGGGCTGTCACGGACACGCAGCCGCCGGCTGCTTGAAGCAGCCGAACTGTCTCAGCTTGCTGCAGCATGGTCCCCGACTCACCGCCCCCGGAGTTTATCCAGGAGATGAGGAGGAAAGGTCGGCGCTCGACCTTGCAGCGGCCCACCACGCCAACTCTCCTCTGACCATTGCAGTGCACAATGGCCACTGCGTCACCCATACGAAGCTCGCCTAGAATCGGGAGGGTGCCCTTTTTGGATGAAACGGGCTTATAAGGGAACCCATACCCTAAACAAGGGAATAAGAGCCTACTCTGGGTCCTAGTCACTGAGGTACTTCGTAGAGCCGTCCGCCATCAGGATGTACGCATGAACTGCTCCGGCATTCACGCGGAATGGTCTCGAGGGAACGAAGTCGGACTGCAGCGTCTCTCCGTGGACCAGAACCAGGCTGGAGCTGGAAGACCCAATAAGCATACCCTCACCAACCTTGGTGGGCGAAATGAACCCTAAAAGGGTTTATGGGCATACCTTAATAAGAGTTATAGTAGTATAGGTATATGACCCCAATCGTTTTAAGGTTCATGTAGTACCTTATAATAGAAATTATAGCAGTGTACGGTCTATGACCCCAATTTTCGGGTTAATGTCGTCCCCAAGGAACTTCCAGGAGGCACGTGAGATCCACGCACACCCTCTGACCAACACCACCATCACCGACGCCGAGCACTTCAAATTCTTCAAGTTCGAAGGTGCTGCGCTCCACGGGCACCTCTTGGCATGTTCCCCCTTATACTAATTACTAATTCCCTTACTAGGCAGCCACTATACTAACAGTCCTGAATAGCGATTACAATAGGGGAATAGGGATTATATTATAATCGGGGGCACTATAATCCTTATTAAGGATTGCTAATATAAGCCGGAGCATCCCAAGGCACCTCCTCCGAAACCACCTCACCACGCTGGGCCTTCGCGATGAGTGCCGCTTCAAGGACGTCTGGCGGCACAAGCAACGCATCTGCTCCTATCTGTAGAGCAAATGCCACCCCGACCACCTGCTCCGCGTCGCGGATGCGCGCTGCAACCCGCGTGGGCCCGCCGGTGCAGGCGGCGAGGATGTTTTCCACAGGAATCATCGTCCACTCGCCAAACTCAAGCAGGATCCACTCCACGCAGCCTGCCAAGGACCGCGCCTTGGATTGGCCATCTCCGGTCGAGACGTCCACTGCGCACCCAACAGTCCGTCCGTCGAGTCGCAGAGTACCATCATCAGCGATTTCAAGGTCCTCACCCAGCACTCGATCAACGCCATCCTGTTTCGCGCCGCTCTCCAGCCAAACCTGCATTGCAGCAGTTCTCGACGGCGAAGAAGCAGCTGGAGGCTCCGGAGAAGTTTGAATCCAGGCGGGTGGTTGTTTCCACAGGCTGAGAAACACAACAAGTAGAGACAAGGAGATGCGGCGCAGTTTCTTGCGGGCTTTTGGCATTCTTGAAGCCATGCCTTGTGCCAAGATGGCCTTCAGTTGCCAAGCCAAAGCCGCATTTGCCAGATTAATCCAGACTGTAGATCCCCTTAAGGGTTCCTAAGAATTTCCCAATGGTAGTATAGGGTACTATTTGGGGGCTCCATTTTTTGGAACCTTTTGGGGGTCTGGGAATAGCTGCAACTAGACCCAAGAGGAACCCAGAAAGAGAAAGGGTACCTTTTTTGGTCTACAGGGGGTTGTACGGGAACCTAAGAAAACACACAAGGGAATCAAAACCCTACACCCTAAACCCTAAACCCTAAACCATTCACAATATACATACCAAGCCAGACCCTATGAACCCTTACAGTAGCCGGTGCAGAGCCAAGGCGACTGCAGGAAGGGCACCCTCTAACCCGAAACCCTAAACCAGAAACCCTACGCCCTAAACCCTATAGACCCCCAAACACCCTAAACCCTAAACCCTAAACCCTAAACCTTATAGGCCCTAAACCCAGGTAGGCCGCCTTGCTGGTCAACCAAAAGACGATCTACGGGATGACATGACGGACCCTTGAAGCCCTGAAGCCCATAAACCCTAGGGTTTAGGGTTTAGGGTTTAGGGTTTAGTTAGGGTTTAGGGTTTAGGGTTTAGGCCCCCAAACTCCCGAATCCTTATCCTCCAAAACCCAAAATCCCCCACAGCCACAGCTGGGCAATCGGCAGGAGGGCCGCTGAGAGTGCTGATGCTTTGTGTTAGGGTTGCGCTGAGGCTTGAGGGCGATTGTTCTCGGTTACGATAAGGCTTGTTAAGCTCGAGGGTTTAACGAGTTCGTCTCATGGGCTTGGTTGGGAAGGGGCTGGAAAACTCAGGGTTTCGGATTTTGGGTTTAGGCTTCATATGGTTGTTTAGGGGCAGCGCCCTTCGGTGATTTGCCTTGAAGGCTGTTGAAGTGCTGGCTTCACAGGGTTGAGGACGAAAGCTCGAGTGCGTGAACGAAGGCCTACTATTTGCTTAGGAGCCCCCAAAGGGAAAAAGATAATAGTCCCTATGTTACCCTTACAAGGAAGAATTTAGGTTCTTCAACAAGTAGTCGAGGTGTCGAGTTGCTGGGGTAGGGTGGGCTCTTACGCTGCTGCGCCTGGTCGTCTACGAACCGGCGAGCGCATGGCTTGAGCCACAGCGATCGATGTAGCGAGCGGCGAACCCCCTAGATTTGGGTGTAGGGTTTAGGGTTTAGGGTTTCGGGTTTAGGGTTTAGGGTTACCCCAAACCCAAACAATCTGGGGGTATCGGGTTTAGGGCCTACATTTAAAGTGTCTCTTCTACCCGAACCACCCTGCACCCCGAAAAAAGTGCATGTCCAAACTAATCTTACGCCTTACTTGGGCCTTGTTCTGAATGTTTAGGGTTTAGGGTTTAGGGTTTATAGGGTTTAGGGTTTGAGGATTGTGGTTCGGGGAAGATTTGCTTTGGATGTAGCCCCTAACAACCCTAAGCCATATTACTATGAACCCAAGAACACCCAAGAACCCGCAAGGAACCCTCAGAAACCCTAAGTTACTAAGAACCTTGTGAGCCTTAACACCCTAAGAAACCCTCTAAACCCTAAACCCTAAGAACCCCAAACCTAGGGCTTGCAATAGGCCGTGAAGCCTCTTAAACCCCAAACCCCAAACCCCTACCCTACACCCTAAACCCTATGAACCCTCAACTCTATACACCCTAAAACCCTCAAGCCTTACACCCTAAACCCTAAACACCCTAAACCCAAAAAAAAAACTAAAACCCTGAACCCGAAACCCTACACCCTAAACACCCTAAACCCTAAAACCCAAACACCCTAAACCCTAAACCCTGAACCCTAAGCCCTAAGCCCTAAGCCCTAAGCCCTAAGCCCTAAGCCCTCAGTCCTGATCCCTAAGCCCTAAACCCTAAGCCCTAACACCCCACACCTCGGGCTCATAGTAGACCCGAAAGACTCGCGACGCGATGCGTCCTGGAGCCTCCGGTCAACGACGCCTTGAAAGTTCCGCACCTGCTCTTCCATCTGCACCAGGGCAACCTGCTTGAGGTCTAGGGTTTAGGGCTAGGGTTTAGGGTTTAGGGTTCAGGGTCTAGGGTTTAGGGTTTAGGGTTCAGGGCTTAGGGCTTAGGGTAGAGGGTTCAGGGGAGGGGATTTAGGGGGTTTTGCGAGATTAGGGGGGGCTTAGGGTTCAGGGTTTCGCGGAGGAGCCGCTCAGGTTGGGGCAAGGTATGAAACTGCTGGAGTCTTCGGATTACAAACCTAAGCCCTAAACCCTACACCCTAAACGTGGGCTTATTTTCGAAACCCTAAACCCTAAATACCCTAAATACCCTAAATACCCTAAATACCCTAAATACCCTAAATACCCTAAATACCCTAAATACCCTAAATACCCCTAAATACCCTAACTACCCTAACTACCCTAACTACCCTCAACCCCAAAGGGTTTAGGTTTAGGTTTCAGGGTTTAGGGTTTAGGCTGCCGCTATAAACCCTAAACCCTAAACCTAAACCCTAAACCCTAAACCCTAAACCCTACACCCTAAACCCTACACCCTAAACCCTAATTTGAAACGCGAGCCCACCTGCATCTCAGCCTCCATCCGCGTCCGCAGCGCCTCGCGGCAGAGGGACATGGGGGGTTTAGGCTTTCGGGTTTAGGGTTTAGGGTTTAGGGTTAGGGTTTAGGGTTAGGGTTGGAGGGTTTAGGGTTTGCTGTGATAGGGCGTAGATGCTGTGAAGGTTAGGTTTCGGAACAAGCTCGAAAGCTTCGTGAGGTGCGAAAAGCAGCATTGGCCCGATTGTGGAGCATCTAACACTTTTCTCCCACCCCACGCCGTCCAAGAGGGCAAAGCCACCCAAACCTATTCCTTTTAGGGTTTAGGCCTAAACTCAGACAACAGCCCGCTTTTAAAAACTTAGTTCAGGGAGGGTTGCAGCAAGTTTCAGAGGGGCGGGCTCGGCCAGGCACCCAGTCAGGGACTAGCCGGCTGCAGAGCCAGAGGCCAGGAGGGCCAAGGGGCCAGCGAGGGGGGCTGCAGGCAGGGTCAGGTAAGGGGTAGTGGGCAAGGCCAGGAAGCCAGGGCCAGGGGCCAAGAAAAGGTCACTTGTTATGGTGGGTGCTTCCGACCCCGAGGTCAAAGGGCTTAAGCGCCGCCCCCCAACGTAGGGGGGCGGCCTAGGCCCTCAGTTTGGTTTAGAGTTTAGGGTTAGGGATGGAGGGGTTTCCGAAAAAGGGGGGGGGGGGGGGGGTTACTTTATTGGGGTCCTCTTTGAGGGTTTAGGGTTTAGGGTTAGGGTTTAAGGTTACAGCTTAGTGTTAGGGGTACCTTCTTGGGTGCCTTTTTTTAAGGGAAGCCTACCATTTGGGGGGAGCCATTTTAGGGTCCCCCTATTTCGCAAATCCCCACATGTCCAGAGCACTAAGTCATGAGGGATCCGAAGTATGGGCCCTTAATTTGGGACCCTTGTTATATAACCTCTATATACACTATATATCAGAAGGCCAGTACGGCTAGTAAGGTGGGTTCTGTGGATTATAATAGGTTTCTAGCAGATACTAAGTAGAGTGCTTTACTTCTCTGCTGAGATGAGGGTCTTAGCCTCTTCTTCGGGTTTGGGGCTTAGAGCTTCAGGGCTTTTCGGGATTCGGGATACGGGCGGGCGGAGTGAGATTTGTTAGGGATTGGGGTAGATATGTGGTGTGTAAGGGGTTCCCTTTGAAGGGCCCATATTAAGCGACCGTGTAACTACCCTTAGAAACTGTAGTTCTTGCGTCCGATGGGATACATGGGCCCTTTTTTGTCACCACTTGGAAGCCCTTTTGACTCAGTAAGTAGGGTTAGTAAGGTGGGGTATGGGGGATTATCGCAGGGTTTGTAAGAGATACTAAGTAGACTTACTAAGTCGCTTCTAAGCAGGCTTTATGAGGTGGATACGGGCAAACCTTCGAGCCTGATCCCCAAAACCACGAAGCCAAAACCCAAAGACCGTTTAACCTTGTGGGCCCTTACCAGCCCAAACCCTAAAACCCTAGGTTTAGGGTAGGGGGTTCTTTGCTGGTGCTTCTGGGACTTTTTTGAGACAGAGACTTAGGGGTTTAGGGTTTAGGTTTTTGGCTGTATGCAGTGATCTGAGAGGTTTCGGGTTAGACCATGAGTCCAGCAACTAAACCCGAACCGCTCAAGGTTTAGGGTTTAGGAATCATTCATAAAATGCAAGCTGCATGGTCCCTTCATATTGTTCTGTACCGTCTGTTAAAGCGACCCGAAGTATGGGCCTGTGGGCTTTAGATAAGGGTCTATAAGGGTTCGCAAAGTAACTGCCCATACTAAGGGACGATGTAACTACCGTAAGCCCTAAACCCCAAACCCTAAACCCTAAACCCTAAACCCTAACCCTAAACCCTAAACCCTAAACCCTAAACCCTAAATAAACCCTACAAGTCCTCGGGATGCTCCAGCCTCATCCGCCAGGCGCTTCAGGCGAGTTTCGAAGACGCTTTCGTCCTCGCGCGGCAAGCAGGGTTTAGGGTTTAGGGTTTAGGGTTTAGGGTTTAGGGTTTAGGGTTTAGGGTTTAGGGTTTAGGGTTTAGGGTTTAGGGTTTAGGGTTTAGGGTTTAGGGTTTAGGGTTCAGGGATTTGGGGTGTTTAAGGTTCAGGGTTTCGGGTTCAGGGCTTTAAGGTTGAGAGCTTCAGGGTTTTCGGGTCTAGGGTTTGGGGTTTAACCCTATGCCAACGTGTATGCAGTGCAGGGGTGTGTAGGTGACACACATGTGGCCGTGCCATATGAGCAGTTCATAAAATGTGGGGGGGGGGCCTGTTGGGGTACCTAGCCCAGGTACCCTAAACCCTAAACCCGAAACCCTAAACCATAAACCCCAAAACCTTCACCCTTTTCCAAGGACCCCAACAAGGGACCTCCAGACCGAACGGGCGCCACATGATCACGTATGAAGGCTTACAGTGTCTGTACTGCAAGGGTTCATCGCAC